CATTTTTAATTTTGTATGTTTATATTTATACATGTATGGAAAATGGAAATTATCTGTGCATTTATTCCATTTGTCATTTTTTCAGAGACCAACATTACAAAATAAATTGTATCAAATAATTAGTTGTTCTGGTTTTATTTTGCTGAAGGAAAGCATCTACTTTAGCTTCATCTTTTTTAGCTCACCTGAGCCAAAGGTTCAAGTGAGCTTTTCTGATCAAAATTTGTCCATTGTCTGTCGTTGTCAACTTTTCACATTTTTATCTTCTTCTCAAGAATCACTGGGCCAATTTCAATCAAACTTGCTACAAAGTATCCCTGGGTAAAGGGGATTCAAGTTTGTTCAAATGAAGGGCCACACCCTTTTCCAAGGGGAGATGATTATAAATTAGAGAAAAATTAATGGCATTTTTAAAAAACTTCTTCTCAAGAACCGCTGGGCCAGGAAAGATGAAACTCATGTGGAAGCATCCTCAGGTAGTGTACATTCAAGTTTGTTGAAATCATGACCTCCGGGGCTAGGGTGGGGCCAAAATGGCCGGTCAAAGTTTTTTATAGGAATACATAGAAAAAAAAAACTTTAAAAATCTTCTCAAGAACCATTGAGACAGAAAAAATAAAACTCATGTGAAATCATCCTAAGGTAGTGTAGATTCAATTTTGTTCAATCTTTAAAAATCTTCTCAAGAACCATTGGGTTAGGAAAGATGAAACTCAAGTGGAGACATCCTCAGGTAGTGTAGATTCAAGTTTGTTCAAATCATGACCCCCAGGGCTAGGGTGGGGCCAAATTTTTATATAAGAAAATATAGGGAACCCTTTGAAAATCTTTTCAAGTACGAGGGGTGATCAAAAAGTTCGAGAACTATCTCTATACCTACAAAACCAAATTTCAGATTAGAAAAAAATTGGTACACACATAGCCATACACAAGTTCTATAAATAGCATATGCTGAATAAAGTTTTGCTCCTTGATTGTGACATCACAATATGAAAATGAGGTCACTTGTGACGAAAAGTGGTTGTCTCACTTATACTCGTTCAACAAACGATTGAGAGTTTATGGTATATCTTAAAAATCCCTTTGAAGTAGCATGCAATAATTTTTACACACTTTATTAAGATTAATGTCTTCCTATAAATTCAATCAATGATTGGATTGATCGTTTAAGAGAAAGAAGGCAGACGGTTAAAAATGATACTTGTTTTGTTGCCCGGTGAAAGCAAGTTTGAAAAGAGATGCATTTTTAATTAAGCAATTTGCTATAAAAAACCTCCAATTTACACTTTGAAAAATAGTTGAATATTTCAACAATAATATACTTTTTAAATACCTAAGATATTGTTTACTTTAGATTTTAAACATATTAGATAAATTATGATAAAAAGGAGGCACCCATTCTCAATCCACCTTGAATAAATGTCTCTCCCAAGACAAAAGATTTGGGTTTTGATGGTCGCCATGCATATTTTTGGAAAGGAAATTTGTATCCACCCATTCTGTTGACCATTTCTGACAAATGAACTGTTCTTGTTATTAAAATTAACTCAAATGGAAATCAATTTAAAAAAAGCAATAAAAAAATCTTTCAGCTTTTGTGACAGAACGCTATGGAGGGGGTCATGTGACCGCCGATATTACGTGATTCGCGCATAAGCAGAATGGTGGCAGATGTGCATTAAAATTGGAGAGAACTAAATAAAAATATAATCAACACTGAAACTAAGTAGTATTTCTTTTATGGAAGTCATTCAATTAGTTTGCGAACTTTTTGATAACCCCTCGTACTTCAAAGCCATGATTAGTGATATTTTTATGGAATCATCCTCAGGTAGTGAAGATTCTAGTTTGTTCAAATCATGACCCCTAGGGGGTTAAAATTCACCCCCCCCCCCCCACCTCAGTAATCTGTCAGTTCTGCTAGCTGATGTTCTCAGGTGAGTGCTGTGGCCCCTGGGCCTCTTGATTAATACCCCATGCAACTTGTTGCATGAGTTAAATGTTTTTGAATGGTCCGTCAGAGTGTCAATCCATCAGTCTTTTTATTTTTACACCGGGATGGTGTCTTGGAAAAAATTGTTAGCTCCAATAAAACCCATATTAAAAACAAAAATATAACATGGAAATGATTCAAATAAAATGTTTAATACCATTGCACTAAAAACTCTTAACATAACAAATCAAATAAATATAAATTCCACATAACAATAACAGTTACCCACCATTCATTTTATCTCTTAATTCTCACAGACAAATACCAATAACAAACAACCTCTGCTGTAGTATATGACAGCAATATAATGACAATCTGTTCACTAAAACACGAATTAAGTGATTGATTTATCTCCCTTTATATGAATGGTTTCGGATTTATCTCCCTTTATATGAATGTTTTCAGATTTATCTCCCTTTATATGAATGTTTTCAGATTTATCTCCCTTTAAATGAATGTTTTCAGATTTATCTCCCTTTATATGAATGTTTTCAGATTTATCTCCCTTTATATGAATGTTTTCAGATTTATCTCCCTTTATATGAATGTTTTCAATGACTAGAGATATACACATGTAAATGAATATTTCAAAGAATTATGATAATATGAATCCTTCCTATGAATAATGATATGTGTCCCTTTTGATCCTCTGTGTGGATGCTGAGTTTGGCTGGAATCCAGAATTATTTCAATTGTCACTAAAGAGGGGTTAATAACTCATCCTGAAATCTGAATGCCCATACATGCATGTACTTTGTCATGGAAATTTCAGTAATGAGACATTTTGTCATGGGACTGCGGAGTTGGGTAATTCTTTTTCCTCTTTGTCTATTAACTTGACCTTCATCTCCATGTCTGCTCCACTCGCTACCGCCATCATAGATTCCCTGTCACCCCTGAGAAACAAAAATCAAATGAGAGAAATTTTATAACTTGGCTTCCTTTCATCTTCCAATTGTGGGCTTTGCAAATAGATGATACTGTAACTTACAACCTGACTCTGTAACTCAGCAAAAGCTGTCATATTTGACATACAAAATCTTTTTACATACTAAACGAATGGTCAATGAAAAGAAACAGAAATGTATTGCGAATTATGTACATACTTCTTGCCAATTGCTTTCAATCCGTACAGAGCTCCTGATATAAAGACAAGACCAGCCCCTAAGATTGTCCAGGCTTCTATACACGACGCTATAGGCACCAGACCTAGTCTGTCAAACAGAATAATTAAAATTTAGTATATACTTCAAACACAGGATCTCTGAATTTATCTATAAATCTATAAGGCTGTTCAAAATTTATTCTAGGTTTAACATCACGGGCAAACGAAGGTTTTGGAAAAATTGACACTTAAAAAAAAATAAAACAAATCATAAGTTTCTATTGGATCAAATATTGTTTTTACTTTTCACATATAAGAACTGTATTCTGCAGAGACAGGCAGTATTTGGGGGACCTCTATGAGGTGTGTTTGAGCTGATCAAGTCTAATTAACCTATCATTCTATGGGACTGAAAATAAGTCTACATAATTACAAATACATATAATACTGACAGTATCTTTATTCATGTAAATGAGTACGCATTTGTTTCAGAATTTTGTTTGTTTAATTTTTATCGCCCTCCCTCGTTGGTTTTTTTCTGTGATGTTTAATAAAAGTAGAAATTTCAACCAATTTTATATAATACACTAATTAAAGATATTAAGATTAAATTAGACTGCATTTTCAGAGTAAAACTTTTCAACACTTACAGACAATATAAAACAGCTTTTTGCCAGGCAGGTCGTTTGTCTGAAAATGAGCTTATTTCATCTGCGAATTCCACAAACTGGCAACAGCACGGAGCCTCAAGTAGTACCACTATAAAACCAGCTACCCTGCAAACAAAACACTTACTTGATGAATGCGTTTTATTTTGAACCAGAGACTGTTATATGTTTTATTATTTCATTTCACTTGTTCATTCACATGCAAAGGCCATTTATTAAATTTTTCTGATAATGAAAACTTTGCAATTAAGATTTTACAGTGTAATTATGTATATGCCCTAATCAATTAATTTTGTGAAAAAAGATCAGATATCAAAATATTAAAAGATCCAAACCTTTCTTGGATTGTATACATACATTTGAAGTACCCCTGCTAGTAAGCACATTGCTGTGAAAGTGATACAAGCCACCAAACCAAACAATATGGCCACTGTAACAGAAAGAAAAAATCATCAATCGACCTAGATAGTTCAGTCGGTAGAGCACCTAATTCAAGATGCAAGGGTCAAGGGTTCAATTCCTAGCTGGTACAGCAATACATTTTCTCCTATCCAGTTACAGATTTTGTGCCTTTGACCAAGCCTGGCCTTGAATTTGAATGCCAAGGGCTAATAAGAACTTGGTTTATATACATGTCTGTGAAGGTGAAGACACTTTAAGGAGAATGCAATGGTTCTGGTTGAGGATATCAGCTTGGGTCACTCAGTCTGTAATGTTAGAACACCTGAATACTGAATAGAGATGCAGGGGTCCTAGGCCTGCGTTTGATTCCCTGTCCAACCATATATTTTCTCCTTTCCCGTTATACACTTGAGCTGATCAAGAATGACTTTCTTGTTAATATCTTATGTTCAACTTGATGTTTTCATTGGGGGGGGGGGGGTCTGGATCTGCAGATCCTATTCTGGCAGGCAAAACATGCAAAAGAGCCAAGAAAAAATATCAATTTACCCTTAGAATTATTTCAGAAATAAGGTATCATTTTAAATACGGGTTGGTCACCAGATTCAATTCCATAAAGCCCGAAGTGCTTTATCATGTTAATGATGAATTTAATCTTGTACTAACCTGTATTTATAGCCCGCTAGATTTTTAAAATGATACTTTATTACTTAATATACATTATACTGTATACAGGGTTATTTTCACCCTTTCTCTCTTGCAAACAATTTTGCCCCGTTTTAAATTCGCCCAGTCATAGTTTTGTTTAAGAAATTATACAGTATTCTTTGAATTCGCCCCGTTTTAAATTCGCCCAAATGAGGGTAGGGCGAAAGGAGCGAAAATAAAACGGGGGCAAAAATTTCCCTGTATACAGTATTTACATTTGTGACTTATTCATGCTTTATATTTGCCTGATTGTGACTTTTAACCACAGGTGCTTGTTTCATACAGTGAGCTTAGTTTTCTACTAAATAAATAATAATACGTGTTATTATATACAGACCCTAAACCGTGCTACTACACCACTGGAACGGTACGGTTCGGTACGCTTTGTGCACGGAACGGTACGCTTTGTGAACGGAACGGTTCGTTTTGAGAACGGTACGGTACGCTTTGTGCACGGAACGGTACGCTTTGTGCACGGAACGGTTCGCTTTGTGCACGGAACGGTACGCTTTGTGGACGGTACGTTTCGTTTCTTGCACGGAACGGTTCGTTTTGAGAACGGTACGCTTTGGGAAACGGTATGCAAATGAAGTAGGCGGAGCCTGTTAGCTTTAATTCTTGATTGGCTGCTAAAAATTTATTCATTTTAAATGACTTTTGAAGTACTTAATGCATGTATATAATTATATTTCAGCTATTAACAAATTAATTTCTCAGTTTCAATTTAAACATTTTACACTACAGCGGTGATGGAGGAAAAAAGAAAAAAAAAATGAAAGGAAGAAAAAACATCATCCACCGATGTATTTGGCATTATGTATAGATATGTATTAATATATATAGATTTCGTAAATATTTCCGTATTTAATTTTTACGTATGCTGACCCTTCATTTGAAAAAGGAAAAAAAAATTAAATGAAATATTTTTTCACTTTGAAATAAAGTTGTAATATAATTAAAAGGAATTAATATATACCGGGTATATACTTGTTCTATACATATATAACGCTATGCACATAGATTGTAGATCTATCGCTTAAACGTTTGCTTCAGAAGAGAAATATCAGTAAACAAAATAAATACAAAAATCAACAGCAGACACACGAAATTAATACAATAACTTCCGAGCGCTTTCTCGAAACAAGAAACATTCTTTTCACAGACAGGTATTTATGTTTTCAATAATCCTTTCAGTGTATTAAGTAATTATTTTAAGAAGTTTTTCTTCATTTTATTAAGTTATTCTATTCTTGTTAAGTCTGTAAAAACAATGTCGCGAGAGAGAGAGAGAGATGCAAACCCCTAATACACGTACACTATCTGTAAAAAAAAAAATAACTTGTATTTATTCTCATTCTTCGTTTTATTTACATCGCCAAAGTCACAATTAATCAGTCTATGATTTTGGTTTAAATCAACCCATTTACAAATATTGTGCAATGTATAATCCGTTCTCTGCCGCATGAAATCCTCGTGCATCACCTGTCAATCAAATTGGCATGACGCTAGGAGCGTATTCGATTAAGACAACCCGTGTCGCACTAGTGTTAGATATGCGCATGCTCACTGATTGAACTCTAGTGATCTAAATAAAACATCTCCTGTTGTTGAGTGTTTGTATAAATATATACTATAGAAATGTTCATTGAAACCCCCAACACTTTCTGTTAAATTGATGTAGTAAGTTAATGTAAAAATAAGTACTGAAAGAAGTTTGAGTTTGAGTTGTAATTTACCCCCCCCCCCTTTCCGAATAGAACAACTGTTTTCCTTTTTTCGCTTGTCCAGTTCTTTTCAGGTACTAGTAAATTGATTATTTCTTCTCCTACGACCCCCCCCCCCTTCGAAAGCGATGCTACGTCACTGCCATGTCAGTGGTTTTCGTGAATAAGAGACTTATTATGGCTATAATCAACTTGCACTTATTAATGAGGGATTAAATATGCATAAGTTTACCGTTTCTGATAAAATTTGTGTATTTTAAATGATTTATTTTCCGTTTTCCGTTACGCGTTTTAGCAACATCCCTCTTATTAAGATTAAAAAAAAAAAAGTAGAATGAGAATGTCTTCACATACAAACATGTCAATAGTATTAAATATTACATGTATTGTGACATACCATCGTTTTTGAAAGGGGTGGGGGGCAGGCCAGAGAAAAAAATAACAAAACTATTTATTTAGAGGAGGGGGATGTAGGTCCCACTTCCTTCAGGACCAAATATTATTCATACAAGACGACTTCACCCTTGCTTGGCTTAACTGTAACAAAAAGGGGGAGGAAGCTATCGGTGGACTTTCAATGAAGGTTTTTTAAAAGTAAAGAGATGTTTGGGGAAAAAAGTGTGGGGAGCGCTTCCACCAGCTGCTACGTGCCTGTATTCTCTCCCCCGTAACATTTTGCATGGGGTATAATAATTGGTCAGAAAAGTACCATAGCTGACATTTTTCATTAATATACTATTAGTCATAGGACGTGAAAGACATATACTTTTACCAAAAAATGTGACGCCGGTTGGAAAGAAAACTTGAGCTTATGTATTTATTTCATGGTATTACATTAAATTTTGAGTCTGTAAAAATAATATTCAATATTTCAACAAATCTTTTTTAAAAAATACGCATGAAATTGTTCAAATTGTTCAATAATTATTAATAATTATTACAATTGTAATTAAAGGCTGAAAAGGTAATTTCTGTATACTTATAACATTTATTGTAAACAAAAAATCGGTTGGTTCTGGGGACCCGACCTCCATATTTATAAGATTACATTGTAATATATGCATGTAACTGTAATTGCTCTCACATTTGATCCTGTAATTATCTTAAAACTGAATTATTAATAATAATAATTTAACTTCATAAGGTAATTAACACGCCATATCTATGCTGAGATTGTTAAATCTATACAAATAGTTCTTATTAGTGAATCAGTATGCATCTATTAGACATTTTTGTAATCAAGGAGCCATTTTTACAAAAGAACTTACACCTAAGACCAAATTTTAAAGAAAGAAAAAAAAGGAGGGATGTCAAAATTATAATGCAGACTTTTTTCATTGACGTTGTAAATTTCTAATACAAACACTGACAAATTTATGCAGAAACAGCTTTCGCATTAACAATGCGACTTTACTTCCCGCCATTTCTTTTACCTGTTACTCCAGGTAAACTGAGGAGTATACTCGCGTAACACGGGTTGATCACCCGTGTCGAAGATAGGTTGTTTTATTTACAACTCTAGTGACTCGTGTAACCCGTGTCGCTTAATCGAATATACCCTAGGTGACCCTGAAAGTGTGTTTACGCAGGAAGAATTTCTCCTGTGATTTGAAACATTCTTTTGGTCAGTTCATAGTTCACACCTGTCTAAAAAAAAATATTGGGTAACTACCGGAGAGACGGGGGAGGGGGGGGTGTTTAACACACCTTTCAAATTACCGGTATTTACTTCCGACCACATCAAGTGTATTAATTCGCTCAACAGACATTACTTCCTAAATTATCCCTTTTCAGACAAAAATAAATACGCATGCATCCCTGAATTATAATCTTTTTTTTACAAAAGCACAATTTAAAGCCACATAAATTCGCATAAGTATGCGTTAACCCCCCCCCCCCCTTCTAGATAGGGGGGTTAACAAACATAATATGGCTTGAAAGAGGATTGATATATTTTTTTCTAATTTCATTTTATTTAGTTAATTATCTTTTTCAGACACTTATAAAATGTTTCCTGTAGATTATGATTAATTTTAATTTACAACAACGTACCATTTTGCAGACTTTTAAAGAACTTTTAACCAGCTAATTCGTATTGTTTTCTAGAAAGGGGATGGGGGTACAGTGTAACAAACCTTATAATATCTTCATTTTTTCGCAAACTGTTTTTTTTTTTTCATTTTTCCTGAGATGTATTTCAGAATAAAGTAATATTTATACTGCAGTTTGCACATTTTATTTGCAAGAAATTCGGCTCGCGATTTTTGTATGCAGCGTGAAAGTTGATCACAATTTTCTTAGTAAGATTATTATCTCTGTCTGTTCAGTAGAATTCTTCATGTTTACCGCATACATGTAATATTTTAATCTATGTTTTACATGATTACAGATTTTCAGTGCAAGTATAACTGCACCAATGATTCGCCTATAGTAAGAATCTTAACAGAATTAATGTGAGAGTCTAATACGGATCTTTTTTAAATTTGACAGTTTATATATGTTTTTAAATTCTTACAAAATAATTCATTAGTAAAATCACGCATCTGATATGTACTACATATGAATGCATACTTACGACAAAAACGATCTTGTATCCGATAAGATTTATATTAATAATTTAAATGAGCAGAATTAAAATCAAAAGTAGAGACAACCAGGGAATTAATTCATGAAAGCGTGTTCTATCTTAGTGGTATTATAGTCTGTTGAACTTTTTTTTATTTCAAATACAATTAAAGGATTATGAAACATGAATTAATGTACATGTGCACATTTAAGGCGGGTTTTTTTCCCGGGCACGAGCACAATTATATTGAATTTTGGGGCATCTTATAATATTAGTTTAAATATCTGTATTGTTAAATTACGAATATTTAAACACAGCTAATATTTCAAAAGGAAATTGATTTAATTTGCTAAAACTTGTAGTATGAAAATGAAAGACTTCAAAGACGCCGACATTGTTCGAGGTCCACTGTGCCCCGTACGTGTTTTGCGGGAAAAAATCGTGGCCTGTACTGTACCTTTGACCACAAACACAACCAGTTGATTTAATCTATAGCAAATAAGGAATCGTCTCACACTCTGTCTAGTTGTTTTGCAGTTGTAGTTTGCTTCGAGTAGTTTTCTTATTTTTGTAGTTGAAGATCCAGACGCTTGATACTTGATAATGGTGTTTCGAACAGGCAGACACAACCTCCGTCCTCCTTTCACAGGCGCCGTAGCGAGAAATAAACCAAAATGACTTATTTGGTCATTATACGATTCAAAAATCATTGGGGGCGTGGTTTGCATAATTAACCAAAGAACGGTACGGTTCGTTTCTTGCACGGAACGGTACGCTTTGTGGACGGTACGGTACGCTTTGTTCACGGAACGGTTCGCTTTGTGGACGGTACGGTACGCTTTGTGCACGGAACGGTTCGCTTTGTGCACGGAACGGTACGCTTTGTTCACGGAACGGTTCGCTTTGTGCACGGTACGGTACGCTTTGTGCACGGTACGGTACGCTTTCTGCACGGAACGGTACGGTTCGTTTCTGAGGTGTAGTAGCACGGTTTAGGGTCTGTAGTAGAAAACTAAGCTCACTGTATGAAACAAGTGCCTGTGCTTTTATTGTGTGAAATGCATTATTTTTCAAATCCAATGGCATGTATGTAATCCACTGAATGCGTGTTGTCCCTTTTATAATAAGACGTCACTGAGAAATTACGTCGAACGTTTATCCATAGGCATATCTATGACCTCTTGACCCTGTACCCTGTACCTGTATTTATACAGTTATAGATACGCATTGCTTTCAGTAGTGTTATATAAATGAAAACATTTGCAAATGTAAATATAAGAAATTGAATTAGAAATGCAAATTTGGGTATTGACGTATTTTCTATGTAGTGTTTTTCCCCTGATTTTTCGCATGTACTTTTTTATCTGAATTATTACGAGAAAATTTTATTTACTTTAAATTTTGCCTGGAAATAAATTATCCAAATTGTAAACTAGATTGGGGTCTAACGTTATGCTATGTCCATTTATGATTTAACCTCGTAACTTACGCAATCCCCCCAGTGTCCCGACGCCCCGTAAGAGATATCTATACCACCAGGTATCAACAATGCCGCCCTTCTGTTGACCATCACGTGTATTTGGCTGCATTCTGATCCCCAGTCAGTCTAACATCAGTCTCTTTTCTCCAGCTGGTTTGACGTGTTCATATTTTCATGACGATTAGTAAACTTCCGGTGACATAATTTTAGACACGAAAAACAACCTTTAAAAATCCGAATAATGAATGGAATGAGCTGCTTCTGTTAAGTATTACCCACGATCATTAGAAAGGCCGTGACTACATTTTGTTTCACTTGTCTTACTAAGATTTTAAGATTCTTAATTGTGTTTTCTTTGTTCTAAATCAATACTTCCTGCAAGCACATGTACATGTGCAACATAGGGGGTGGGGGGGGGGGGGTTATACTAGATGTTTTAGCTTACCTAGTATATATTTTATACATATTTTGATTTTTTTTAGCAACATTAAGGTGATTGCATAAATTTCAGCTATCTCCAACAAACTGTATCACTAGATTCATTTTTTTAACCCAAATCCTTACCTTTATTTAAAATAAAGTGTAAGATTAATTTGGTAACTATTATTTACTCATGATTGGGCCTAGCATTGGATCCCACCGACAATAAATTAGTATATGTTAAAAATTACCATGGTAAAACCTGGAACACTCCTAATGTTATGTTAGGAAAGAGTGCGGGAGGGGGATAGAAGGCACCCCTTCCCACTTTCTCCCGATATTAAGCAAGTTTAATCACAGGCACCTGAAGTGTGGAGCCCCCCCCTTCCCATTGAAAACATATAAAAGCCTTTAATTTCTCAAAAATAAAAAATTTCCCAATCTATGATATCTATAATTATGTCGTTCTATGAAAGCGGATTGTACTTTTTCTTACGTTGAGAGATTGGCCACAGTCAGTTACACAATCACAGTGAAAAAAGGTGAAAATACCGAACAGAGATCGATATCAAAAAATCTACATACAATAAAATAGTGAAGATGACATAAAACATGCTCCCCCCCCCCAATGCAGGATTTCTAGAGGTGGGACCAAGAGTCTGAGAGTAAAACAATCCTTTTTTGGTGATAATGGAAACTATAAATAGATGTTTCAGAACACTTAAAAATATTCAATGAATGAATTCAATGACTTATTATTCATGAGATTTGGACTTTTGTTTGCTCTAATACGCATGCATGGATGTCATAATAAATAAGTGACTGGGTTGAAATATCTTATCATGCATTGAAAGATTGTATTATTTTTAATAGTCAAGCTTAACAATACGAACCAGAAAGTTTTTGTAACAGCAAAAAGCAAATACAAAAAAAAAAAAAAAAAAAAAAATCCATGGGAAAAATGAATGCTTTCAATAATACCCTAAAAATATGGCTGTCCTAATTACCTCAGTGTTTTTTACTTTTGGATTATTGTGCAGAGCGCAAGGTAGGTAATTGGTATATGTCCATATGCATATTTTATGGTTTGACTTAATATATATATACACATGTATCTCTTGACTTTTTTTCATTTAGAATAGTTGATTAATTGAATTTATCTAGTTGAGCCTGTTTAATAGATAAAACAGATCTTTGTTGAAAATTTACAGACTTTTATGAATCTCAAGTATAAACACGTGACTATGAGTAGTTTTTTGTAGACTACCAGATCTTGTTATGTTGATGATGTTACTTGCTACTTGGTGGAGTCCTCTTGCTCTCCCCTTTCATTAATTTCAGTTTTCCTGTTCCTTGATAATATAGTCGTACCACAGGCACCCGATGTTACAAGTTTACTTTTCTTTTAATACAAAATATACCCCCTACCTAATAAGGTATTTTATATATTTTTATTAAAAGAAAGATGAGTAACGTCAGGTGCCTGTGAGTTGTACGCACGTCTTTAACATATCTGGATCTCGAGAGCAACGGCCTTTAACGGTTGAGATAAAGAACGAAATACAGTTTGAAAGTTTCGATGCAATTGTTTTATTTAAAGGTAAACCGCAGACTTCTTCTTTCCGTGTATTCTGTGCTGTACAAGGTGAAGATAGCAAACATTGATCGATCTAAAAAAAACAACCTATCATAATCAATACAAAGAGCATACAATACGGACCTATAGAAATTCTAAAGTTTGGATCAGGTGTCTTCGGGGAATAAGCATCTCCTGTTGACTGGCAACCCCCGCCGTGAGCCCTGTGTATTTTGTTCCGGTAGACGGAACTTTCCGTGGTCAATTGATCATATAAAAAAGGCTTAACAATATGTATGAAAGAAGTAATTCAAAATACAAAATTTTAAGGAACACAGAATTTACGAAATGCCCACGTTAAACGACGTAGTTTAAAATCCCGGTAACCTCACCTTATCATCGACTGTCTCTCTTTAAAATTGACCGTACTGAGAGCAACATTCTTGATAAATTAGGAGACATATAAATACCAGAAGCAAATGAAAGAAGGACAACGCTACACAAATAAGTAAGTCTGAGAATGGAAAAACTGAATTCTTCTTGTTTGTCATATATTGTTAATTAACAGTAACCTTTATCGTCACACATTAAATCAACCAAAGATGAAACAGATGTGATATCCTCTGTGGTTTTATTTATTTCATGTTCATTTGGATATATCGGGTCCAAATACGAATGAAAATAACTTAATTAATAAAAAAAAAATTGTCGAAATCTGAATGTCAAATGGAAGAAACCAACTATTGTTTTCATCTACTCATGTAGAGGGTTTTTTTGAATAAATTCTGCCACATAGGAATATCCTGAGGTAAAACAGGTTAGGTAATAAAGGAGCACTTTAAGTGCCCATCCGAAACCCAACAGTTTGTTGTGAAATTTGCAATAGGTCTCCGAAGACTACATAATGTTTTCAATATATTCACCATCTTCAAAGGTTTTATATTTCTGATTCATAGCATATCAGTTGGTTTTTACCAAGTTCTCCATGTCTTCTTTTTTCCTAAAGATCTCAAACCTAAATACATTTCTGGACGTTGATAAGACAGGGTGTAATTTTCTAAACTGGACATATATTAATCCTTTCAAAACATGTCTTCTGTTGAAGTTACAAATGTAGTTTGAACTTAGAGATAAATTTAGATGAAAAGGGCACAAAAGAGGCAAACTTGTGACATCTAATTGAAATTATATATTTTTTGTGATGATGAATTAAGCTAGGTAAACGACATTTTAATTAATTTTATAGTAGCAATATACGATATCAATAATAATTAAATACCATTATTGGATATTGTCTATTCCTCAGTTTTTTTAATTCGAATATTTCGTTTCAGATCAGTACAATCTAACAGGTTCCCGCCCAGCAGCAATACTGGGGGAGTCTTTCACTTGGACATGCTCTATGTTTTTACCGCCAGGAGAGACGTTACGTGCTGTTTCGTTTTCAAGGAACACCACAAGGGTTGGTTTAATAGGTTACTTAAACGGAGAATGTTTAACCACAGATCTCAATCCTAAGTACATGTACCTTTGTGAATCTGAGTACGTGTTTTCTTTGGTCATTCCCTCCGAGAATATGACAGAGTATGAGGCAAACACGACTTGGAGATGTCAACATTTTAGTAATGGACTCTTCAAAAGTCCAGAAGTCATGCTGAAAATTGGGGGTGATTATTTCTCATTTATTAGTTTAGATACTTACAAATTTCATTTTGCATAGGGAAACATTGTATAATATTTCTTGTATGACAAGTGACAAAGATCAGTTGTAGACATTTTTTCTGAATTTGATATTTGTGAAAATGTTTTTATGCTTATCGAATATTATTGATATTCTGACAGCAAATGTCACGACACATTTCAAAGATATTCCAAAGATTTTACAAATAACGTGCATGCGTATATAGCAGATTAACGAACATAGAATCAAGAGGTTCATGTACCACATCACACCAGGATATTAAAGTTATTTCTTTAATGTTCCCGTGTATTATGTTTGAACAAATTTGGATTTACACTATGTTATAAAGCTTGCACGTAGGAATTAAATCTTCTAATTAAATATGGATGTAAAAAAGTAACCCAACACAAAAATCCATTCAAATAATCAAATTAGCAAAACAGCAAGCAGGAACCTCTAAACACATCAAAGATGGGATCTGATGCCATAGAGAAATGAACATTCCTTTTGAGAAGTCAGAGACGCTATTTGTTCCGTCGACGGGAAAATACGTAAACAATTTTGAGAGTTAGCCATGAGTAGGAAATGCAGCAATATGCATTATGACTAAATAATTGATCCAGTGGTTTTGAAAAGAATTTAGATTGATTAAGTGTTGCTTCAAATCCCATTCGAGATTTTTTCACTTATATGGAGAGGTAACCATTTTAAGACCTTTACTCGACACTTACGGATATGAGCAGAGAAGGATCTTTGTCGTGTCAAACCCTGGGTTTAAAGTCTCATTTTAGGACCCACAACATTCATTTTAAAGTGCCGAGAGCTCAGTGAAGGAACGGTTGCTACCTATTTTTATCGAGCTAGTCGCGGCCGAGAATCGAAGTCAAGATCTTCCTGACACGGAGCGAGCACACTGCCGAATAATCTAGCGTGACGGTAAAGAAGTTTAGAAAGATGACACTAAATTCTCACAAATTTCAATTTCCCCCTTGAAAATGGGCGCTGTCCTTTATTTGAAAATGAATGGAATGCTTTTTTTCCCCAAAGGATGTTTAATGGCAAGTTTGGTTCAAATTATTCCATTTATTTTGGAAAAGAAGACAAAAATGTAAAATGTTCACGACGACAGAAATGATAAGAAAAGCTTATTTGATTCTCCGGCTCAGCTGAGCTAAAAATATAAAACAAATTTACTATATTTTCACACAATATTTCAGTTTTTGTCCAGAGCGTTTCAATTCTACCAAAGGACAATCCCCTTACGTTGACAGAAGGAACAAAAACCAAAGTTACATCTTTTGTCAATAACAACGCTTACCCTCCTCCCACAATACAGTGGTATATCGGGGATACATTGATGAACGTGACAGGAAGAGATCTGGAACTCATGGCTGACAGAGACAATGATGGGAAAGTGTTACTCTGCATCGCCACCAATAACAACAAATCACTTAGTGCATCAACAGTCTTAAATATTCTGTGTACGTAAGATTACATGTTAATTCATATCACTATTCAGTAGCATGATTGAACTTTTTAAAGAATGAAAATGCACTCATGTTGAAGAAATTGTTTTATATTCTTAGATAAACCTATAATAAATATTGCCCCATTCCCCTTACTAACAGTTAACTATGGTGACACAGTATCGGTCAACTGTGTAGTGCTGAAGTCTAATCCTGCAAAAATTATTGAATACACATGGTCAACACTGGGACAGGAAAGGGTCATTGGGAGAGAATCTAACTTTACCATCATTGATGCTTCTTTAAAAGACAATGAAACTTTTCAATGTAGCGCCAGGAACAGTGTTGGGACGTCTAAACTATCATTTGTAACAGTGATTGTTCTCTGTAAGTTCACATTGTTTCAAAGAAAAATGATTTTTTTTATCACAGAAAAAGAAGTATTTCATGCATATTTGATTAAAAAACCTGTCTTCTTTTAAAAGTGGTACCACCAAAACCACAGTACGTCAAGGCACTTTGCTGTGAGACACATGCTGATGTTGTGTGGGTGACATCACTAGCTGGTCATGTAGAACAGAAATCATTTATACAGTTCATGAAATCTTCACCACATAGTTCCTTCTCCAATACTACTGCTGGCTTCATCTCTACACAGGAGAAAGGACTCTACACAGCCAGAGTGAACGATTTAGAGTTCGACAATACATATATCTTTAGAGTTGTAACAGTGAATCAGTATGGACCTGTCATTTCCAAAAATGCTTCATGCAGGGTTCATGAACATCAAGATAAAAGAAGTTTATATCTACATTATGAAAAAAAGTAGAGATGAATTTTTGTTGTCCTTTTTTATCAGTCAATTTGTCATTACATCTTCCCTCTACATCCACGAAATAGTATCCAATTTTATCTTTTAGAAAATTTTGACGGTGTCCTGTAAGGACTACGTGTAAAGAATTGACGGACAGATGTAGATGTACAGTATCGATTAAGATTATATAAACCTATAAGGAAGGCCAATTTCCCTACAAATCCAAGTTCACAGAACTTCTTTTGCATTTTTACTTAGTAGGTATTTAGGACAATTTCTTTTGTATTAAAAGGAACGATAAAACTATAAAGGTTACTGAAAAAATATTTTAAAAATGAAGAATATGGATAAAGGTATGTTTGTAAACTAGAGAATTTAAGACTATTAAAGCATAAAATAATAACGGGGAGTATATGTCTCGTTTTAATTTCTCTGGTGAAGGTCAATCAGCTCCAAGTGTCGCTGCTACAGTTGGAGGAACAGTCGGTGGTTTGATGGTTTTAATATTGGTAGTGATCATAACAGTGATCGTCATCCTAAAACGTCGGCGACAACATAATTCAGGTGCAACTTAATTAATAGCATTAAAAAACATTGAAGTTTATGAAACAATTGTATAATTATTTTCATTAATTCAATACATGTATTCTTGTTCCCAGAAAAAAAAACTCAGGAAAAATCAAGGTTAGCAAATATTTTCGATAGTAAAATTATTTTATGTATAATGGTAGCAATTTCATATACATGACACGGAGTAAAAAAAACAGAAGTAGCAAATTTTCATTGTAATATTTCAGTGGAAAAACAAAGTATGAAACCCAAACTAACTATAATTTGGAAGCCAACCAGTACCATGTAATATGAAATGTACAGTTTATACTTTACGATCAAGGTCTGCTTATAATTTATTTCAGATTAAAACTATAACAGTCAAAACTGAAGCTCACTGTAATATTTCATCAAAGATGATCAACTTGTGTACTTTTTCATTCAGTTAAGATTCTTTGTTTCTTCGCATATATGATTGCCAATATTGAACGGTTAGTATTTGATTATAATAAAACAGCAGCTTTTTCATTTTTCTTTGTGTCTTGATTAAGCAACTTTATCAATTGTTTTCAATTTTAGAAATGAAGAGATCAAAAGTAAGAATATCAAAAGGGATAATGAACTGGAGAAAACAAATCCAAGAAAAGATGCAAAAGGGTCTAAAGGTATTTAATCAATAGATTACATGCAATATTTAAGGAATGACTGTCTTATTTCAGGCACATAGCATCGTTTTTTGAAATGGGGGGGGGGCACCCAGAGCAAAAGAAAAACAATTTCATATACTAGAAAATACTAATTCGAGGGAGGGGGTGCAACCAACTTCTTTCATTACCAATTTTTTTGGCATACACTACTGAATTTCCCTTATATTATTTTACAGAGTTATTAACTGGGAGGGTGCAACCTGTTTTTCAATGAACATTTTCAATAATAGAAGTAAAGTTGGGGAAAAAGTGGCCCCCTGCCCCCTGTTGCTACCTGCCTGTATTTTTCGATTTCATGATGTGTTCAATCGATTGACTTGCGTGATATTTTGCAAAAACACCGAAGGCATTTATACATAAAATTATCACGCAAGCCAATCGATCGATTATCGTCATGAAATTGAAAAAAATAAGACAGTTATTGCATTCTAGAAGAACTTGGATTTAATTCTACAAGTGGTAATCCTACTTATACATATACTTCTCTTTCTAAGGAAGAAATTCTTCAAAATCACCTGTCAGTTTCGAATACTTTTGATATTCCACAGAGCCAAAATGAATTTGAACTACCTTATATATATTAGTTCCGAAACTTCATAAGAATCCTTACAAACAAAGATACATTGCAGGTTCCAGTAAATGTTCAACCAAGCCTCTTTCGTTACTTCTCACTAAAATATTGACTGTAGTGATTGAAAAACTTCAAGAGTACTGTACAACTATTTACCCCAGTATTCAAGAAGTGGTGTAAATCAGATGTGGATACTTAAAAATTCTAAAGAACTTTTGGACAATTTGAAATCACAAGACTTTACAAAAATCAACAGCATTAAAAACTTACGACTTTTCAACTTTATACACAACAATTCCCCACAACAAATTAAAATCCAGGCTTTTTGATATCATTGACAGCTGCTTCTTCAACAAAAATGGAACACGTAAGTTTACTTACCTCGTCATTGGTCATTTGAAAAATTATTTTGTTAAAACAGATTCTGATTGCACACATAAGTACTCTGAAGTTGACATCAAGAAAATGCTTGAGTTTCTGATTGACAATATCTATGTGGTTTTTGGAGACCAGGTATTCCAACAATCTATTGGAATTCCCATGGGTACAAATTGCGCTCCGTTATTAGCAGACTTATTTTTATATTCATATGAAGCAGAATTTATGCAAAATCTTTTACGTGAAAAGAAGAAAACACTTGCTGTGGCCTTCAACTCGACATTTAGATATATCTACGACGTATTGTCAATTAATAATGATAATTTCCATTCCTACGTCGACACGATATATCCTGGTGAGCTTGAGATAAAAGATACCACAGAGTCCGACACTTCTGCTTCATAATTGGATATTTTACTTGAAAAAGACACTGATGGTAATCTAACAACCAAGCTATATGATAAACGTGATGACTTTAACTTTTCTATCGTCAACTTCCCTTACTTATGCAGCAATATACCTTCATCACCTGCATACGGAGTATATATATCTCAGTTGATACGATACACAAGAGCATGCTATACGTATGAACAGTTTCTTAAACGAGGTAAATTATTGACAAGCAAGTTGATGAAACAAGAATATCAACAGTCTCGTTTGAAGTCATCATTCCGTAAATTCTATGGTCGATACAATGACCTTGTCAACAAATACAATTTATCATTGAATGAAATGCTGACGGACGTTTTTCATACCAATTGTTAGTCCATTATTTATACACTGAATTGACCACGGATTTTTTCCGTTATTTCCTGATTATGACAACGAGCACACGGCGGGTGTGACCGGTCGGCAGGGGATGCTCACTCCTCCATGGCACCTGATCCCACCTCTGATGTTTCGGAGGTTCGTATTTGCTCTGCTCTTATTTTGTATATTTGTTTAATGGACGTTGAGATTGAATACTGTTCGTTATTTCCATATCCTTCTTATTCCTTATATTTACATGTTCTTGATCCGCCACTCCACGTGCACCAAGCCCTGCTTCTGTCTAGCTATATTCGACGCACCCTGCAGGTGACTTCTTTTAGCCGCGCCTATTGATGAACCAATACATCATTGGGGAGAAGTACATATACAATTTGTAACATCATTTCGGACAAAGAAATTGAAAATGTAAATATTCAAGCATATTACAGTTTTTTCAATGTAAGAAAACTTGTTAAATAAATACATTATATTATAATTTCTAATAAAAAATAATAAACTCAATCAATCAATATCTTCACGCTTATACAAGATTTTTAAGGATATACTCAGTTGAGTTAAAAAACAACCCACTTCTTAATTTATTGTTTTTAGATTTGAACACCTTTTATTTTAATGCATCTTGATACATGAAAGACGGGAGAGGAAATGAAACAAATTGAATGCTCTGAATCTGTGCATCGGAAGAATCATTTAATTATTGTTTGTTATCTATATCGTCTTTTAAAAATGAATTTACTCAAAAGCCTGTTTCTAACGTCAGATTCATTAATTAAGGAATGAAGCTTATTTCAACTTGTGTTATCCGATATAACATAACTTGGGGCAGTTTACGCTTTATAAACCGTCGGATAAAATAAGTTGAAATAAACTTCATTTCTTATAGTTTAATTTCAATGTAAACAATGAGACAATGTTTCCTCCAGGAAATGGCTTCAAAGTGAGCATTATTTTAAAAGTAACGTCAAGCGGAGTGATACGTTTTTGACGTAACTCATTGTGACGTAGGCAAATTATGTTATACAAAATAGAGCGCAGGAGTTATCACGAATTTTTTCAAGAGAAAAATCTGTGAAATGATTATGGAGAATATTAGCAGTCTCGTATAAGGTTATATTTTCCATGGTCTGTACTATGACCTTGTCAGCAAATACAATTTTTTATTGAGTGTAATGCTGATTGAAGTTTTCAATACCAATTGTAAATCCATTATTTATACACTGAATTAAGGAGGGATTTGCCTGTTTTTTTCGATCATACAAGGAGCACACCGCAGATTTGACCTGTCGGCAGGGGATGCTCACTCCTCCATGGCATCTGATCCGACCTCTGACGTATAGGAGGTTCTTGTTTGCTCTGCTCCTGTTTTGTATTGTTTTATGGACTTTTGAGCTTTAATACTGATTGGTTTTCCAGGTATTTCAAGGACGAATTTAAAATTCAATAAAAATCATGAAAAGTAAAAGCCATCAAGAAAGATGAAATCCATGAAGCATTAATTTCTCTGTTAGGATTCAAGATAAGAAATATTCAGTTACAAATCTAATGAGGCTCCGATTGATTCTGTTTTTCTTTCATTTTAATCATGGGTATTCTAAGATACTATTGGATACAAAATAAAAATTCCCGACATGTTTATACAACCATATTAGTGGTGAATGTATTTTAAATACCCCTAACATTTTCAGTTTGTTAAACTGCAGAAAGTCAAATGATTCTGAAAATTAAAAATAATAAGATAAAATTATATCATTTTTTCGACATGGTCCTGATACCAACCCTGGTGTTTTAAATATCTGAGTTAGGATTTTTTTTATTTTAAACAGTCCTTAAATTTCAATCCTCTACTTATGCATGTATTGTATAATCATATGCAAGAGTTATTATAGTGTTTATTGAATAAAAAGAAGTTACAAAAAATGTCTATGTAAAAAAATCAACAAGAAATATCTATGTAAAAAAAATCAACAAAGAAATTTGAAAAAAAAAAATGATCAACGGGTATCTTAGATGATCAGCGGAATATCCTTCACCTTCGGGCT